CCTCTGAGGTGAGTCAAGCCCTCTGAGGTGAGTCAAGCCCTCTGAGGTGAGTCAAGCCCGCTGAGGTGAGTCAAGCCCTCTGAGGTGAGTCAAGCCCGCTGAGGTGAGTCAAGCCCTCTGAGGTGAGTCAAGCCCTCTGAGGTGAGTCAAGCCCTCTGAGGTGAGTCAAGCCCGCTGAGGTGAGTCAAGCCCTCTGAGGTGAGTCAAGCCCTCTGAGGTGAGTCAAGCCCGCTGAGGTGAGTCAAGCCCTCTGAGGTGAGTCAAGCCCTCTGAGGTGAGTCAAGCCCTCTGAGGTGAGTCAAGCCCTCTGAGGTGAGTCAAGCCTCTGAGGTGAGTCAAGCCCTCTGAGGTGAGTCAAGCCCTTGAGGTGAGTCAAGCCCTCTGAGGTGAGTCAAGCCCTCTGAGGTGAGTCAAGCCCTCTGAGGTGAGTCAAGCCCGCTGAGGTGAGTCAAGCCCTCTGAGGTGAGTCAAGCCCGCTGAGGTGAGTCAAGCCCTCTGAGGTTAGTCAAGCCCTCTGAGGTGAGTCAAGCCCTCTGAGGTGAGTCAAGCCCTCTGAGGTGAGTCAAGCCCTCTGAGGTGAGTCAAGCCCGCTGAGGTGAGTCAAGCCCTCTGAGGTGAGTCAAGCCCTCTGAGGTGAGTCAAGCCCTCTGAGGTGAGTCAAGCCCTCTGAGGTGAGTCAAGCCCTCTGAGGTGAGTCAAGCCCGCTGAGGTGAGTCAAGCCCTCTGAGGTGAGTCAAGCCCTCTGAGGTGAGTCAAGCCCTCTGAGGTGAGTCAAGCCCGCTGAGGTGAGTCAAGCCCTCTGAGGTGAGTCAAGCCTCTGAGGTGAGTCAAGCCCTCTGAGGTGAGTCAAGCCCTCTGAGGTGAGTCAAGCCCTCTGAGGTGAGTCAAGCCCGCTGAGGTGAGTCAAGCCCTCTGAGGTGAGTCAAGCCCTCTGAGGTGAGTCAAGCCCTCTGAGGTGAGTCAAGCCCTCTGAGGTGAGTCAAGCCCGCTGAGGTGAGTCAAGCCCTCTGAGGTGAGTCAAGCCCTCTGAGGTGAGTCAAGCCCTCTGAGGTGAGTCAAGCCCTCTGAGGTGAGTCAAGCCCTCTGAGGTGAGTCAAGCCCTCTGAGGTGAGTCAAGCCCGCTGAGGTGAGTCAAGCCGCTGAGGTGAGTCAAGCCCTCTGAGGTGAGTCAAGCCCTCTGAGGTGAGTCAAGCCCTCTGAGGTGAGTCAAGCCCTCTGAGGTGAGTCAAGCCCTCTGAGGTGAGTCAAGCCCTCTGAGGTGAGTCAAGCCCTGAGGTGAGTCAAGCCGCTGAGGTGAGTCAAGCCCTCTGAGGTGAGTCAAGCCCTCTGAGGTGAGTCAAGCCCTCTGAGGTGAGTCAAGCCCTCTGAGGTGAGTCAAGCCCTCTGAGGTGAGTCAAGCGCTGAGGTGAGTCAAGCCGCTGAGGTGAGTCAAGCCCGCTGAGGTGAGTCAAGCCCGCTGAGGTGAGTCAAGCCCGCTGAGGTGAGTCAAGCCCGCTGAGGTGAGTCAAGCCCGCTGAGGTGAGTCAAGCCCGCTGAGGTGAGTCAATCCCACTGAGGTGAGTCAAGCTCTGAGGTGAGTCAAGCCCTCTGAGGTGAGTCAAGCCCTCTGAGGTGAGTCAAGCCTCTGAGGTGAGTCAAGCCCGCTGAGGTGAGTCAAGCCCTCTGAGGTGAGTCAAGCCCGCTGAGGTGAGTCAAGCCCTCTGAGGTGAGTCAAGCCCTCTGAGGTGAGTCAAGCCCTCTGAGGTGAGTCAAGCCCGCTGAGGTGAGTCAAGCCCTCTGAGGTGAGTCAAGCCCTCTGAGGTGAGTCAAGCCCGCTGAGGTGAGTCAAGCCCTCTGAGGTGAGTCAAGCCCTCTGAGGTGAGTCAAGCCCTCTGAGGTGAGTCAAGCCCTCTGAGGTGAGTCAAGCCCTCTGAGGTGAGTCAAGCCCTCTGAGGTGAGTCAAGCCCTCTGAGGTGAGTCAAGCCCTCTGAGGTGAGTCAAGCCCTCTGAGGTGAGTCAAGCCCTCTGAGGTGAGTCAAGCCCTCTGAGGTGAGTCAAGCCCTCTGAGGTGAGTCAAGCCCGCTGAGGTGAGTCAAGCCCTCTGAGGTGAGTCAAGCCCTCTGAGGTGAGTCAAGCCCTCTGAGGTGAGTCAAGCCGCTGAGGTGAGTCAAGCCCTCTGAGGTGAGTCAAGCCCTCTGAGGTGAGTCAAGCCCTCTGAGGTGAGTCAAGCCCTCTGAGGTGAGTCAAGCCCTCTGAGGTGAGTCAAGCCCTCTGAGGTGAGTCAAGCCCTCTGAGGTGAGTCAAGCCCGCTGAGGTGAGTCAAGCCCTCTGAGGTGAGTCAAGCCTCTGAGGTGAGTCAAGCCCTCTGAGGTGAGTCAAGCCCTCTGAGGTGAGTCAAGCCGCTGAGGTGAGTCAAGCCCTCTGAGGTGAGTCAAGCCCTCTGAGGTGAGTCAAGCCCTCTGAGGTGAGTCAAGCCTCTGAGGTGAGTCAAGCCCGCTGAGGTGAGTCAAGCCCTCTGAGGTGAGTCAAGCCCTCTGAGGTGAGTCAAGCCCTCTGAGGTGAGTCAAGCCCTCTGAGGTGAGTCAAGCCCTCTGAGGTGAGTCAAGCCCGCTGAGGTGAGTCAAGCCCTCTGAGGTGAGTCAAGCCCGCTGAGGTGAGTCAAGCCCTCTGAGGTGAGTCAAGCCCTCTGAGGTGAGTCAAGCCCTCTGAGGTGAGTCAAGCCCTCTGAGGTGAGTCAAGCCCTCTGAGGTGAGTCAAGCCCGCTGAGGTGAGTCAAGCCCTCTGAGGTGAGTCAAGCCCTCTGAGGTGAGTCAAGCCCTCTGAGGTGAGTCAAGCCCTCTGAGGTGAGTCAAGCCCTCTGAGGTGAGTCAAGCCGCTGAGGTGAGTCAAGCCCTCTGAGGTGAGTCAAGCCCTCTGAGGTGAGTCAAGCCCTCTGAGGTGAGTCAAGCCCGCTGAGGTGAGTCAAGCCCTCTGAGGTGAGTCAAGCCCTCTGAGGTGAGTCAAGCCCTCTGAGGTGAGTCAAGCCCTCTGAGGTGAGTCAAGCCCTCTGAGGTGAGTCAAGCCCGCTGAGGTGAGTCAAGCCCTCTGAGGTGAGTCAAGCCCTCTGAGGTGAGTCAAGCCCTCTGAGGTGAGTCAAGCCCTCTGAGGTGAGTCAAGCCCGCTGAGGTGAGTCAAGCCCTCTGAGGTGAGTCAAGCCCTCTGAGGTGAGTCAAGCCCTCTGAGGTGAGTCAAGCCCTCTGAGGTGAGTCAAGCCCTCTGAGGTGAGTCAAGCCCTCTGAGGTGAGTCAAGCCCGCTGAGGTGAGTCAAGCCCGCTGAGGTGAGTCAAGCCCTCTGAGGTGAGTCAAGCCCTCTGAGGTGAGTCAAGCCTCTGAGGTGAGTCAAGCCCTCTGAGGTGAGTCAAGCCCTCTGAGGTGAGTCAAGCCCTCTGAGGTGAGTCAAGCCCGCTGAGGTGAGTCAAGCCCGCTGAGGTGAGTCAAGCCCTGAGGTGAGTCAAGCCCTCTGAGGTGAGTCAAGCCCTCTGAGGTGAGTCAAGCCCTCTGAGGTGAGTCAAGCCTCTGAGGTGAGTCAAGCCCGCTGAGGTGAGTCAAGCCCGCTGAGGTGAGTCAAGCCCGCTGAGGTGAGTCAAGCCCGCTGAGGTGAGTCAAGCCCGCTGAGGTGAGTCAAGCCCGCTGAGGTGAGTCAAGCCCGCTGAGGTGAGTCAAGCCCGCTGAGGTGAGTCAAGCCCTCTGAGGTGAGTCAAGCCCTCTGAGGTGAGTCAAGCCCTCTGAGGTGAGTCAAGCCCTCTGAGGTGAGTCAAGCCCTCTGAGGTGAGTCAAGCCCGCTGAGGCGAGTCAAGCCCTCTGAGGTGAGTCAAGCCCTCTGAGGTGAGTCAAGCCCTCTGAGGTGAGTCAAGCCCTCTGAGGTGAGTCAAGCCCTCTGAGGTGAGTCAAGCCCTCTGAGGTGAGTCAAGCCCGCTGAGGTGAGTCAAGCCCGCTGAGGTGAGTCAAGCCCTCTGAGGTGAGTCAAGCCCTCTGAGGTGAGTCAAGCCCTCTGAGGTGAGTCAAGCCCTCTGAGGTGAGTCAAGCCCTCTGAGGTGAGTCAAGCCCTCTGAGGTGAGTCAAGCCCGCTGAGGTGAGTCAAGCCCGCTGAGGTGAGTCAAGCCCTCTGAGGTGAGTCAAGCCCTCTGAGGTGAGTCAAGCCCTCTGAGGTGAGTCAAGCCCTCTGAGGTGAGTCAAGCCCTCTGAGGTGAGTCAAGCCCGCTGAGGTGAGTCAAGCCCGCTGAGGTGAGTCAAGCCCGCTGAGGTGAGTCAAGCCCGCTGAGGTGAGTCAAGCCCGCTGAGGTGAGTCAAGCCCGCTGAGGTGAGTCAGCCCCGCTGAGGTGAGTCTATCCCACTGAGGTGAGTCAAGCCCTCTGAGGCGATGTGTCTGAGGGTTAAAGCAACGGAGGTGAGTTACACTCATCTCATCTCATCGTATTGGTGCGATTATCTTTTCTTGGATTGTTAACCAACTCTTCTTATCTTTTCTTGCACTGCGGTGTTCCTCACCTCATCACACCTCATTTCATCTCATCTCATCTCATCTCATCTCATCTCATCTCATCTCATCTCATCTCATCTCCTCTCATCTCATCTCATCTCATCTCATCTCATCTCCTCTCATCCCACCTCCCCTCACCTCACCTCCCCTCCCCTCCCCTCCTCTGGTCTGGTCTCGTCTCGTCTCGTCTCGTCTCGTCTCGTCTTGCCTCGCCCCGCCCCGCCCCGCCCCATCTCATCTCATCTCATCTCGTTTCTGTTGCAACCGCCTGCACGTCCTTCCTCTCTCGCTACAAATGTACTCCCTGCTCTATGCTGTGCACACGACTGCAACCTTTGCATTGCCGCCCCTCCTTACCTCTCGTACCTCATCCCACCCCCCAAACAGCTCACCTTCCGAATGCTCATCCTCACCTTGTGCTGTGAGCACAACCCCAGCAAGGCTCTGAAAAATCCTGTCACTTTCACCTCCTCCCTCCCTTCCTACCTCATCCCACCCCCCAAGCAGCTCACCTTCCGAATGCTCATCCTCGCCTTGTGCCGCGAGCGAAACCCTAGCAGGGCCCTCTTCTACCTCACGCGCATGCTGGACGCCGGACTGAAGCCCGACAAGCAGCTCTTCCGTGCCTGCATGCTCACACTCTCTGCACTAGGTACAGTGAACCTGCTCTTGTTGTGTCAAGCGCCGCTCTTTCTGCTCTTGTTGTGTCAAGCGCTTCTCTTTCTGCTCTTGTTTTGTCAAAGCCGCTCTTTCTGCTCTTGTTGTGTCAAGCGCCGCTCTTTCTGCACTTGTTGTGCCAAGCGCCGCTCTTTCTGCTCTTGTTGTGCCAAGCGCCGCTCTTTCTGCTCTTGTTGTGTCAAGCGCCGCTCTTTCTGCTCTTGTTGTGTCAAGCGCCGCTCTTTCTGCTCTTGTTGTGTCAAGCGCCGCTCTTTCTGCTCTTGGTGTGTCAAGCGCTCTAGTCGCGTGCTGACCTGCTTGCTAGAGTGCAACCCCAGCAAGGCTCCCTTTTACCTCACTCGCATGCTGGGCACCAGACTGAAGCCAGACCAGCAGCTCTTCCGTGCTTGCATGCTCACCCTCTCGCCTCTCGATATGCTCTTGCTGTGTCCAGGACTCTATGTATGCTCTCCATGTGCTCGCATGTGCTCCACACTCTCTGCACTCGGTATGTTGAACCTGCTCTTCGTGTGCTAGAGTCGATGCAGGGAAGAAGGGCACTGATAGTTGTGGATCTGTGCGCACTGTCCCTTCTGTCCTCTTCTCCCTTCCCGCACTTCCAACCAGGAATTACTCGCAACGCCTTGGAGCTCTTCGAGTTGATAGGGACGGATCTGCGCAGGAGTGGCCTATGGTGCTATTCTCGTCCTTGCTCTCCTCGTGCCCCATCCTCCCCAACCAGGCATCACCCGCGACGCCTTGGAGCTCTTCGAGCTGATGCGGGAGAGAAGGGCCACGCGGGCGCTGATAGACGCGGATCTGTGCACGCTGCTGCTGGCAGCGCTGGGCAAGCGCGGGCTGCACCTCGAGATGAAGCGAGTTGCTGCACTTATGAGGAAGGTGGGTGGAAGGAACGGGAGGACCCTACAGGCACTAGCAGGGCTGCTGCTGGCAGCGCTGGGCAAGCGCGGGCTGCACCTCGAGGTGAAGCGAGTGGCCACTGTGATGACGAAGGTCATCTAATGGTATTTTGTGAGGGGTGGGGGGGGGGGGGAGTCACATTGGCACTCACAGAGGTGCTGTTGGCAGCGCTGGGCAAGCGGGGGCTGTCCTCGAGATGAAGCGAGTGGCTGCTGTCATGAGGAAGATGGGCTCTTGGCAATGATGTGGTGTGTGTTGGGGGTGGAAAGGGGTAGAGGGGCCCATACATGCACTAGCAAGCGCGGGCTGCACCTCGAGATGAAGCGAGTGGCTGCTGTGATGAGGAAGGTAGGGATTGTGGCTAATGGGTGGGAGAGAGGGTCGGGGGAGGGGTAAGCGCCAAGCAGGCGCTATGAATGGTGCTGGGCAAGCGAGGGCTGTAGCTCGAGAGATGAAGAGGATGGCCGCTTTGATGAGAAAGGTGGGCTCTTGTGAGGAAGGTAAGTTGTTGGGTTTGGTGGGCGGTGAAATGGTGTATTTTGAGTCGACTCAAAAGTCACCAGGCAAGCGGGTTGTACAGGGCAAGCGGTTGTACAGGCAAGCGGGTTGTACAGGCAAGCGGGTTGTACAGGCAAGCGGGTTGTACAGGCAAGCAGGTTGTACAGACAAGCGGGTTGTACAGGCAAGCGGGTTGTACAGGCAAGCGGGTTGTACAGGCAAGCGGGTTGTACAGGCAAGCGGTTACAGGCAAGCGGGTTGTACAGGCAAGCGGGTTGTACAGGCAAGCGGGTGTACAGGCAAGCGGGTTGTACAGGCAAGCGGGTTGTACAGGCAAGCGGGTTGTACAGGCAAGCGGGTTGTACAGGCAAGCGGGTGTACAGGCAAGCGGGTTGTACAGGCAAGCGGGTTGTACAGGCAAGCGGGTTGTACAGGCAAGCGGGTTGTACAGGCAAGCGGTTGTACAGGCAAGCGGGTTGTACAGGCAAGCGGGTTGTACAGGCAAGCGGGTTGTACAGGCAAGCGGGTTGTACAGGCAAGCGGGTTGTACAGGCAAGCGGGTTGTACAGGCAAGCGGGTTGTACAGGCAAGCGGGTTGTACAGGCAAGCGGGTTGTACAGGCAAGCGGGTTGTACAGGCAAGCGGGTTGTACAGGCAAGCGGGTTGTACAGGCAAGGGGGTTGTACAGGCAAGCGGGTTGTACAGGCAAGCGGGTTGTACAGGCAAGCGGGTTGTACAGGCAAGCGGGTTGTACAGGCAAGCGGGTTGTACAGGCAAGCGGGTTGTACAGGCAAGCGGGTTGTACAGGCAAGCGGGTTGTACAGGCAAGCGGGTTGTACAGGCAAGCGGGTTGTACAGGCAAGCGGGTTGTACAGGCAAGCGGGTTGTACAGGCAAGCGGGTTGTACAGGCAAGCGGGTTGTACAGGCAAGCGGGTTGTACAGGCAAGCGGGTTGTACAGGCAAGCGGGTTGTACAGGCAAGCGGGTTGTACAGGCAAGCGGGTTGTACAGGCAAGCGGGTTGTACAGGCAAGCGGGTTGTACAGGCAAGCGGGTTGTACAGGCAAGCGGGTTGTACAGGCAAGCGGGTTGTACAGGCAAGCGGGTTGTACAGGCAAGCGGGTTGTACAGGCAAGCGGGTTGTACAGGCAAGCGGGTTGTACAGGCAAGCGGGTTGTACAGGCAAGCGGGTTGTACAGGCAAGCGGGTTGTACAGGCAAGCGGGTTGTACAGGCAAGCGGGTTGTACAGGCAAGCGGGTTGTACAGGCAAGCGGGTTGTACAGGCAAGCGGGTTGTACAGGCAAGCGGGTTGTACAGGCAAGCGGGTTGTACAGGCAAGCGGGTTGTACAGGCAAGCGGGTTGTACAGGCAAGCGGGTTGTACAGGCAAGCGGGTTGTACAGGCAAGCGGGTTGTACAGGCAAGCGGGTTGTACAGGCAAGCGGGTTGTACAGGCAAGCGGGTTGTACAGGCAAGCGGGTTGTACAGGCAAGCGGGTTGTACAGGCAAGCGGGTTGTACAGGCAAGCGGGTTGTACAGGCAAGCGGGTTGTACAGGCAAGCGGGTTGTACAGGCAAGCGGGTTGTACAGGCAAGCGGGTTGTACAGGCAAGCGGGTTGTACAGGCAAGCGGGTTGTACAGGCAAGCGGGTTGTACAGGCAAGCGGGTTGTACAGGCAAGCGGGTTGTACAGGCAAGCGGGTTGTACAGGCAAGCGGGTTGTACAGGCAAGCGGGTTGTACAGGCAAGCGGGTTGTACAGGCAAGCGGGTTGTACAGGCAAGCGGGTTGTACAGGCAAGCGGGTTGTACAGGCAAGCGGGTTGTACAGGCAAGCGGGTTGTACAGGCAAGCGGGTTGTACAGGCAAGCGGGTTGTACAGGCAAGCGGGTTGTACAGGCAAGCGGGTTGTACAGGCAAGCGGGTTGTACAGGCAAGCGGGTTGTACAGGCAAGCGGGTTGTACAGGCAAGCGGGTTGTACAGGCAAGCGGGTTGTACAGGCAAGCGGGTTGTACAGGCAAGCGGGTTGTACAGGCAAGCGGGTTGTACAGGCAAGCGGGTTGTACAGGCAAGCGGGTTGTACAGGCAAGCGGGTTGTACAGGCAAGCGGGTTGTACAGGCAAGCGGGTTGTACAGGCAAGCGGGTTGTACAGGCAAGCGGGTTGTACAGGCAAGCGGGTTGTACAGGCAAGCGGGTTGTACAGGCAAGCGGGTTGTACAGGCAAGCGGGTTGTACAGGCAAGCGGGTTGTACAGGCAAGCGGGTTGTACAGGCAAGCGGGTTGTACAGGCAAGCGGGTTGTACAGGCAAGCGGGTTGTACAGGCAAGCGGGTTGTACAGGCAAGCGGGTTGTACAGGCAAGCGGGTTGTACAGGCAAGCGGGTTGTACAGGCAAGCGGGTTGTACAGGCAAGCGGGTTGTACAGGCAAGCGGGTTGTACAGGCAAGCGGGTTGTACAGGCAAGCGGGTTGTACAGGCAAGCGGGTTGTACAGGCAAGCGGGTTGTACAGGCAAGCGGGTTGTACAGGCAAGCGGGTTGTACAGGCAAGCGGGTTGTACAGGCAAGCGGGTTGTAAGGCAAGCGGTTGTACAGGCAAGCGGGTTGTACAGGCAAGCGGGTTGTACAGGCAAGCGGGTTGTACAGGCAAGCGGGTTGTACAGGCAAGCGGGTTGTACAGGCAAGCGGGTTTGTACAGGCAAGCGGGTTGTACAGGCAAGCGGGTTGTACAGGCAAGCGGGTTGTACAGGCAAGCGGGTTGTACAGGCAAGCGGGTTGTACAGGCAAGCGGGTTGTACAGGCAAGCGGGTTGTACAGGCAAGCGGGTTGTACAGGCAAGCGGGTTGTACAGGCAAGCGGGTTGTACAGGCAAGCGGGTTGTACAGGCAAGCGGGTTGTACAGGCAAGCGGGTTGTACAGGCAAGCGGGTTGTACAGGCAAGCGGGTTGTACAGGCAAGCGGGTTGTACAGGCAAGCGGGTTGTACAGGCAAGCGGGTTGTACAGGCAAGCGGGTTGTACAGGCAAGCGGGTTGTACAGGCAAGCGGGTTGTACAGGCAAGCGGGTTGTACAGGCAAGCGGGTTGTACAGGCAAGCGGGTTGTACAGGCAAGCGGGTTGTACAGGCAAGCGGGTTGTACAGGCAAGCGGGTTGTACAGGCAAGCGGGTTGTACAGGCAAGCGGGTTGTACAGGCAAGCGGGTTGTACAGGCAAGCGGGTTGTACAGGCAAGCGGGTTGTACAGGCAAGCGGGTTGTACAGGCAAGCGGGTTGTACAGGCAAGCGGGTTGTACAGGCAAGCGGGTTGTACAGGCAAGCGGGTTGTACAGGCAAGCGGGTTGTACAGGCAAGCGGGTTGTACAGGCAAGCGGGTTGTACAGGCAAGCGGGTTGTACAGGCAAGCGGGTTGTACAGGCAAGCGGGTTGTACAGGCAAGCGGGTTGTACAGGCAAGCGGGTTGTACAGGCAAGCGGGTTGTACAGGCAAGCGGGTTGTACAGGCAAGCGGGTTGTACAGGCAAGCGGGTTGTACAGGCAAGCGGGTTGTACAGGCAAGCGGGTTGTACAGGCAAGCGGGTTGTACAGGCAAGCGGGTTGTACAGGCAAGCGGGTTGTACAGGCAAGCGGGTTGTACAGGCAAGCGGGTTGTACAGGCAAGCGGGTTGTACAGGCAAGCGGGTTGTACAGGCAAGCGGGTTGTACAGGCAAGCGGGTTGTACAGGCAAGCGGGTTGTACAGGCAAGCGGGTTGTACAGGCAAGCGGGTTGTACAGGCAAGCGGGTTGTACAGGCAAGCGGGTTGTACAGGCAAGCGGGTTGTACAGGCAAGCGGGTTGTACAGGCAAGCGGGTTGTACAGGCAAGCGGGTTGTACAGGCAAGCGGGTTGTACAGGCAAGCGGGTTGTACAGGCAAGCGGGTTGTACAGGCAAGCGGGTTGTACAGGCAAGCGGGTTGTACAGGCAAGCGGGTTGTACAGGCAAGCGGGTTGTACAGGCAAGCGGGTTGTACAGGCAAGCGGGTTGTACAGGCAAGCGGGTTGTACAGGCAAGCGGGTTGTACAGGCAAGCGGGTTGTACAGGCAAGCGGGTTGTACAGGCAAGCGGGTTGTACAGGCAAGCGGGTTGTACAGGCAAGCGGGTTGTACAGGCAAGCGGGTTGTACAGGCAAGCGGGTTGTACAGGCAAGCGGGTTGTACAGGCAAGCGGGTTGTACAGGCAAGCGGGTTGTACAGGCAAGCGGGTTGTACAGGCAAGCGGGTTGTACAGGCAAGCGGGTTGTACAGGCAAGCGGGTTGTACAGGCAAGCGGGTTGTACAGGCAAGCGGGTTGTACAGGCAAGCGGGTTGTACAGGCAAGCGGGTTGTACAGGCAAGCGGGTTGTACAGGCAAGCGGGTTGTACAGGCAAGCGGGTTGTACAGGCAAGCGGGTTGTACAGGCAAGCGGGTTGTACAGGCAAGCGGGTTGTACAGGCAAGCGGGTTGTACAGGCA